CATAAGATAAGCAATGTGTTTGCAGTCTTGTTCTGTGAATTCTCTGACTCTTTGTTTAGAAAAACCTTATAAAAAGTACCTCAGCCCCTGAGCAGTTGCCTCTCTGAGCCACCTGGCTCCGGGAGTGCCGTCTGGCCAGACTAATAAAGGTCTCTTTTACCATCTAGGCTGGTGTGTTCCTTCCTGGGTTTCTCGGTTCTCTGTCGTGTTCCCGGAGCCTCGCTGGGTGTTAGGGCCCAGCATCGTGGAGGCCTTTTGGCTGTTCATGCTCCGTGGAGTGGAAGTGAGACTTTAGGTCTTACAAGATTAGAAGGAAGTGTATGTAAACTTGGTATGAGTAAACAAAGGTAATGTCTTAGGACTTTGATCAAGACAGGGCATCCTGAGTCTGGGGTGACCAACACAGGATGCCAGACATGTCATAAACCAGACCCCCTAAGGGATAGCAGGAAACTGACCCCCTGCCCCCCTTACTGTGCTTACAATCCTCTCCACTAGTCTTCACAAAGGGACTCCATGCTAATAGGCCAGACAGTGCTTCTTCATATGCTAATTGCTACCTTGGTTAACAGCCCGCCCAGGGGCAAATGGTTTGACAAAAGGTGACCATAGAACATTTCCTACATAAGATAAGCAATGTGTTTGCAGTCTTGTTCTGTGAATTCTCTGACTCTTTGTTTAGAAAAACCTTATAAAAAGTACCTCAGCCCCTGAGCAGTTGCCCCTCTGAGCCACCTGGCTCCGGGAGTGCTGTCTGGCCAGACTAATAAAGGTCTTTTACCATCTAGCCTGGTGTGTTCCTTCCTGGGTTTCTCGGTTCTCTGTCGTGTTCCCGGAGCCTCGCTGGGTGTTAGGGCCCAGCATCGTGGAGGCCTTTTGGCTGTTCACGCTCCGTGAAGTGGAAGTGAGACTTTAGGTCTTACAAAATGAGGTTGCTTCTGTGACAATACCTGACCATCAGTTCAGAAGCCTTTGAAACTGGTTCATAGGAGGGGTTTAGGAAGGTTTGAAGATCCTGGCTAGAGAAGCCCTAGAATGATGTAAGCTGATTTAACAAGACATTCTTGTCAGAGCTCACAAGGCCAGAATGCTGAGAGAAATACAGGCAGTAAAGGCCAGGCTCAAGAATTTTCAGCTGCAAACAAAGATTCCATTGGCAGTTGGCTCAGAGGTCGTGTGTGTAATGCTCCGGGAGAAAGTGTGTACACACTCTGCCCATGTCCTGAGACTTGTAGGAAACTGAGATTAAGATCTGCTGAAGGAAATTTCAAGGCAACCCAATCTTTCTAGCAAGGTTTACAGTGAGAATCAGGACCAAAAAGTAGAGCTGAATTATTTGAAAAAATTTTCTGGTGGCCAAGAGGGAAGCATCTGTAAAGCTGGGGTCAATTTGAGCTTGACTGCTAAAAAGGTTAGCATTTAAAAGATGCCAAGTAATAAGATTACTGACATTTAGAAATGGGAGGAAAGGAGCTAAAGGTGTAGGGAAGGTGTGATACGTAGGGGAAGAACAAAAAGGGAAAAGAAAAAAATGTGAGAGAATGAAAAGATGAAAATAAAGTGTTTGTAGATGGGGAGGGGAGGAGGGGGTGAAGGGAGGGCAGAGGTAAGGGGAAAAAAATGAGAATCAAGACTTGCCATGTAAAGGTACATGATCCCAACAATGAATGTAACTGTACTGTATCCCTAAATGTACCAATAAACTCAATTAAAAAAAAAAAAAGATGCCAAGTATTTTGAGTGAGGACAATAGGAAAGATGGCTTGAGGGCATCTCAGGAATCAGCAATACCCTACCCTTTACAAGCTCAAGGGTGCAAAACTATAAATCTTTCATTTAAGAAGAGTACCTGCTGAAGAGGGCTGCCTAGGGAATTGGTTCTTCGGGATTTATTTCACCATACTCAGCCATCTAGGCACTCACAGGTCTCTGCAATCATAATCCAAAGGGGCCTGCTTATTGCTTCAGCTGGCAGCAGACCCTGGCATCAACTACGTAGCGCTGACTTTACAGGCATGCAGAATTCAAGAGTTATGGGGTCATGGAGGCTTCTACCCAGATGGTAATAGAAGGCCTGGGAGGTCAAGCAGTGTGCCCTTGGAGAAGAAGGCAGTGTGTGAAGCTGTGAGACTGAAACCAAAAGTACAGTACAGACCGCAGGAATGTGGAATGTCTGCTGAGGAAAGCCACAGGCATTGAGTGAAGCCTGCCCAAGAGAGCTATCATGTGGGCTGCAACCAGCAATGCCATAGAGGGATTGCAACCAGCAATGCCAAGCCCCAAAGAGCTCACATCTTGCCACAACTTGCCCCAGATGCCAAAGAGCTACAGGAGTTAATGTTTGCTCTGCTGGGTATTTTTGTTTTGTTTTTTTGTACCAGGGATTGAACTTGGGACCCTGCACTTGAAAGGAGGGTGGTGGCACCACTGAGCTAAATCCCCAGCCCTGTTCTGCTGGGTTTTAATCTTGCTTTGGTCACATTCTTTTCTATCCCCCAATTTCTCCCTTGTGGGATGGAAATGTTTGCCTGTGGCATTATGTTAGAAGTATTTAACTTCCTAATTTTTACAGGGGCTCACAGCTAAGAATTTGCCTTGAATCTCAGAGGAAACTTTGGACTTGGACTTTACAGCAATTCTGGAAAACAAAGTTAAAATTTTGGGAATTCTTAGACATGAACTTAATGCATTTTGAATAAAGAGACAGACATGGGTCTTTTGTGGGCCATAATGCTATGATTTAGATATAAAATGTCTCCCCAAAAGTCTCATGTGATCAGAGGTAGAGCTTTGGAAGATCATTGGATCATGGAGGCAGTGTATTCATCAGCAGATTAATTCACTGATGAATCCATAGCCGAACATGCTGTCAGGAGGTGGCCTGGTTGGAAGAGGTGGGTCACTGAGGATGTGACTGGAAAGCTGTATCTCCCTCTCTGGCCCTTCCTGTCTGCTCTGTGACTCCTGCCTGCCATAGGTAGAGCACCTCTCCCTTCACCATGCCCCTCTACCATGTTGTTTCTACCTTGGAGACAAGCCAAAGATGGACTGAAACTGGGAGCCAAATCAACTGCTCCTCCTTTAAGTTGTTGGGTATTTTGTCTCAGTGTCAGAAAAATAACTAAGACATTGCATGCATGCACACACCCTGGGTTCAGTGAACACACACATACGAGTTATTTCACATGTGCCTAGGGCTCTGTGCACACACACCTAGGGGTCACTGAACACACACACACACACACACACACACACACACACACCGGGGTCACTGAACACACACACACACACACACACACACACACACACACACTTAAGGGCCACTTCACACACCTAGGGACACTGCACCCAAACATGCATGGGGGTCACTGCTCACACACATGCCTAAGGGTCATTGTGTATATGCACACGCCTAGGGGTGACTGAGCACTGTGTACACATACATGTGTATATACATGTGCCAGGGGACAATGTTAGTGTCCTGTTATAATCTACACTGATAACGAAAGTGAGCATACCTATGAACATTTTCTATATATTTATTCAAAATAATTACTCATCATATTTTCAAGCAAGGTTTACAAGAGTTACTTGTACTTAGTCATAATAACTACAAATACTGAGACTCTATTCTCTGGTATTTCTGAAAATGTTTTATCCAGATTCAAGCATTCTACAAGATCTGGGCTGGGGATGTAGCTCAGTGGAACAGCACCTGCCTGGCAAGCGCAACGTCCTGTGTTTGAGCCCCAATACCAAAAAAACAAAACAAAAAAACTGATCCTTCTTTAGTGACAAAATTGTTCAAAAATAATATATTCAGTGACTGGGTGAGAGACAGGGCCTTGCTTCTAGAAGTCACTGAGAAGGGTAACTGGGGCTATCGTAGGTAGAGGGGAGTTGGAGCAACAGAGTAGGGCTGCAGTGAGGAGCAACCACTGAAGAGCATGAATAACATCTCCCATTTCTGAGTGTCACTGAGGCCTCCTAGACTGGCCAGACTCTGTCTTCTTTCTTCAGTAGAGCTTTGCGTCTGCAAGACCACTCTATCACCCCCCACCTTGATGCACTGCCACAGGGCTGGCAGGGATTCCCTCACAGACTGACTTTCAGGACCCCTGGGGCCAACTTCTCGAGAGGGCTCATGTTGGTTTTCTAGAATGAACAAGAATTTCCAGGAAGCTTCCCTATCAGGTTCCTACCACAGTATGTGCTTGCTACAACTTATTCAGTTAACTTAGTCATCAAATTATTCACAGACATTATCTTTTCCTCAGAGGTGCCCTGCACAGGTTGCTGGGGGTTAAATATCTAAGCAGGTGTGAGGCATGAGGACTACTTTCCTAGTGGGCAGTGAGCTGCCATCTCCATCACCCCAACACCTAAGAACTGCAAGGAAGCTTCTCAGACCACAGACATGCCTAAATAGCTCCACTCATCTTTCAATTCAATACAATGAAAAAAATACTGAAATATATTTTACAAATTAGAAATTTTAAAAAGGAATCTTACTTGCATTCTTGTTTCTAGAACATTACCACAAAGCCTGGAACATCTGTGACTCTGCTTCTTGTATCCATTGGTTGCAGGATGCAGACACATCTAGTTGTTTCTTACCTCCAGGCATCACCTGGCCAACATCCTGAACAGTCAGGACTGACAGCTTCTCTTCAGTGTTGACTCTGATCACACCATAGCTCAGGCCATTCATTGACAGGACAGCTTTTCTTGGAGGAGGTCCTCCCAGATCAGGTGGTCTGGAACACGAGCAGCAGCAGGCTACCTGAGTGGAGGCTGGCTGGGTGACCCTCTAAGGAGAGGGCACTGATGGCCCACTTGGGCCACAGCACAATTCCACACAAAAGAACTGCTCAATGTCAGAAGCCTGTGTGTTACAACGACTTCAAGATGAAGTCTCGAAACCACTTCTGCAGTGTGCTCTTGGAGGTAGCCATGACTACAGGGGAAGGAGGTGCCACGAGACAGTCCAGGTATGTCATTCAAGGTGCTCAGCTTCCACTGGTCATCTTAGGGTGCTCACACGGAGCCTGGGGAACCAGATACGCAGACGACCAGCAGAGATCACTAGGCTATGACTCATCAAGAGACAAGAGGAATGAACCCTGAGATTGAGCAAGCAGAGCTTTATTAGCCCCACAGCTCCAGACTCCATCTCCCTGCACCACAGTAGCCCAGCAGAGCCCTGCCCAGATCTCTGGCCCACAGCCCTGGAGGAAATACAGTGGCACTGTTCTAAGCTTCAAAGGCTATGGTGAACCATTACACCACAGCACCAGGAAAGCAAGGGCAGTATTTCTCCAGGAGGGGTTTTGGACAGACTTCATGGCTCAGGGCAGGGGACCTCCCTCAGAGTGAGGGGCAATTCCAGTTATAGTGTTTACTACAGCTAGGGATGACACAGCAACATCTTCTTGATTTGGAAAGAAGCACTTAGGGAACTAATAAGCCAGTACCCAGTACCGTAAGAACCCAGTATTCGGTCCAAGGACCCAACCACCTGTGCAAGTCCAGGCTGGGAAGGGCATGGGGCCTGGGCCACACAACTGCTGAAAAGATGGGCTGGCACACTGATGAGAACCGGCACTGCCTCAAGATTCCTACTGTTAGAAATGAGCTAGCAAATCCAGTGCTCCCAAGACAAAGCAGGTGACGGTTACCTGCGGATAGCAACTGTCAGAGCCTCAGGAGAACAGGCACAAGGGCAGATGGCCTCCGGCCTCAGGCCTCTGGACTGGAAGACATTGAGGAAGGCGTCACACGAAGATATAGACCCTGCACAAAGCAACAGAAGAGAAGTATGAGTGGAAGCTGGGGCCAGCATCCGGGGCCAGCACTAGTTCTCCAGGGTGCCCACAGCTCTGGTGGCTGCAAACATTCCCCTTGTCCCACCTGCAGTAAGCCTATCATAAGGCAAGTTACAGTGCAGAGAGGCAGAGCCTAAGAGACTGGAAATCCCTTAGGAGGTTTTATTGTTAGCCCTGTGTGTTACTGAGGCCCTGCCCTCCCCTGCCTTCTAAGATCAGGTGCCAGGAACAGCCCCCTGCACTTCGCGTTGTGGGCCAGCAGTCTCCCAAGTACCCTGAGGGCATCTGTGACCCAAACCTTCCACACCAAACCTCAGCCTGGGTGCCTGAGGGCTGCCGCAGCCTTAGAGCTGTGCAGTCTGCATGGCTGGCTGAAGGCCACTTCTGCATCCACCCAGGGACTGTTCCTCCTCTCCCTCAACATCCTCTCCTCTGGGGTGGAGATTTAGGGTGATTGTGCGATTATTTAGGGTTGCAGGCCTCAGGAGTGGATGTTGAAGATGTGTAAATTCCCAGAGCTCAAGGTGGCACAGCCCTAAGACCATAAACTTCTTCTAACCCAGGGCAGAACAGAATGGAAGGAGCTATTCACAGTGGCCCTCAGACTTTGTGCTCTTAAGGGGAGAGGTATCTTCGAAGGAGAGATGATCACAGACTCTTCAGTGCAAGGGGGACAAATGGGCATTCTGAGGGACAGCAGGTGAACTGCACATTGAGGCTGATATGGGAGAGCTGCAGGACCCGCAGGGACATGGACAGAGTATGGCCACAGTAGGGCTGCCAGTGCCCAGAGCGGGTGGCACACTAGGACTCTACGGCACAGACTGTGGTGGGTCCAAGCAGGAACATGGATGGCCTAAGGAGTGGGGTAGGAAGTCTGAAATGCAAGCAGAGCTATAGGACAGAGGCTCTGTTTGGCTCAGGTGTGGACTGGGGGTGAGTGGTTCACAGTACTGTGCACCCCATATTTTCCAAGAGATGGAGTACACAGGGGAAAGTGAGTGATACGACCTTAACATTTATATTTTATGTGACAATGACAATGAAAACGCCTTAATTTTGTTTCTCCACAGATTCTAATTCAACAGCTTGGCCACGCATCTGGTGTCAAAGCTGTAGGAAGGGGTGTGGGAGGACCTACTCACATGGGTTGGCGCCATCAGCCACAATCAGCATGCGCAGGGAGCTGAGACTGACATCCCTCTGGCCCCGCTGAGCTAGGAGTGACCAGTGCATGTCACGAGACTTCACCAGTGCGGCTCGGGCTGCAGGGAAGGCAGCAGACACTCCTGTGTCATTGGAGGGAGGGTGGGCACACTGATGACCCACACACATGCAGAGAGGCAGCACAGAGGCACAGTGGTGCTGTGCCAGGTCACACACCTCTCTGCAGCTCTTTCTCACACATCATCTGGCCTACCACATCCCTCCACCCTTAAAAAGTCAAATTTTGAGACGTAAGTTGGATGTGATCTATACAGTCATTTTCAACTTCTTTTTTTCTCAGAAGATCTCAATTACTACATGCATATTTATTTTCCAATTTCAACTTGTGTCATTCCCTCCCTAAGCACTGGCTCTGGTTTAAGTAAGCCCCACTGCCTGCACTGTATCATCTGTCTGCCGGGCTGTGAGGTGGGAGAAGCCTGAGATTTGAATGCGTGGACCTGGCCCTCGATGCTTACTGCATGGTCTAGAGAGTCCCACCCACTTCTCCCCAAGACAGGACCAGGAATACTTGGGTGCTGCCCTGGAGAACTGGTGGAGCGCCATTGTCACCACAGGCAGGACACACCAGCATGGGCGGTCCAGGGCTCCTCAGGCCACCCTGCAGTTCTATACACTCAGTTTGTTCCTCCTTAGTTACCAAAGATCAGGCCAGAGAGATTTCACACAGAAGGATGAGTCAGGGAGGGCAGTGTGCATTACCTTTGTAGGAACACACTTTCTGAATCCAGGAGAGCGGGTTGACCTTCATCAGTGCATAGGGGATGCTGACAACATGCATCCTATTCATGACGCTCTGAGAGAAAAGCAAAATCAAACCAACACACCCTCACACCTCTAGTTCATAGGCTTGGCTCACCACTGGGTACACAGCTAGTCATTAGCAAACAACACTCACTGTTAACACTCCATGCCACAGACCAGCATCCCTTTTGAAGTCCAACACATTTGTTAATGTTTCAGCTGAAAGCAGACAAAGAAGGTTAAACCAATGAGCAGCACTTCATAAACCCTGCACATTTCCTAGAGGATTTCTAAAATGAGTATATCACAAACACGTAAGAGTTTAAGAAAGCAGGAAAAGCATTCCCAAACACCATGCACCAATTAAACAATAATAAACACCAAACACCAACAAATCAATAATCTTTGCTGTCTACTGAAATTACTATAAGCATACAATTTTAGACTGAAATACAGGATAATCCTTATCATGAATCGGAGGCCACAGGGAATGTCATAAGGTGAATAAACTATAATGTCACCACATACTTTACCACAGACACTCTTGCCTCTCAGTGTCACACCCAGAGGCTGTGGTCCTGCATCTTCCTCTGCACAGCAGTGACTTATGTCACCTTTAGACAGTTACTCCTCCTCCTTTGCTGCTTCCTCACTCAGGGGCAGTACCCACCACTCTGCAGGGAGCTTCAGAGTCCTCTGCTCAGAGGCCCCAGCCAGGTCCTCTGGTTGCCACCTCATTCAGGGCAGAGGACAGCCCCCAGGGCTGTGGACAGACCCAGCTCCTCTCCAAAGCCCACCAATACCAGGTGTTCCCCAAGACAGACCCAGGGGTCTGATTTATGTGCTAGGAAATGCTGCTGCATTCTGAATATCAATGGCACAATCTCCTCTCCTTGTCAGCTACAGACCCCAAACTAACAGTAACACCCATTACATCAGCACTGGAGCTGAGGGAAAAGAAGCCACAGAACTTGATTTGATAGATCCAATTTAAAAATAAATATTAAAACCCTTGGAACTATCTGAAGTTCTTTTTCAAATCTCCATAAAAGGCTAGTAGATCCACAAGCTACCCCTTACTTTTAAATATCCCTATTGTAGATATTTAAATACACATTCAATTTTACTTTCCAGTTTTGTTCAGTTCTACTGTTGCAAGAAAACTCCCATGAGTATAGTTTTACAGTGTGTAAAATGTCTCATACTGTACTCCATAAATATATATAATTATTATCTATTACTATGAAATATTAATTTAAAATATTTCTCTACATTAAATATCTGATGTTTAATAGTAAATTGGGAGCAACTTATACTTTACCAAGCGATAACTGATGACCAGATTCCACTGAAGTGTTTACATGCAGGAGAGCTTAAGCCAAAACCACTTTCATGATACCACAAGAGGAAACATGTCCCAAGCAGTTTCTGCTCTTCATAATGCAAACGCACCACCCTTCAGAACCTCATAGGCAGAGCCAACCCACCGTGAAATGAATCGCTGGTCTGTAGGTTCGTGCTCCCTGAAATCAATATGCACATGAATTGATCGAAGACAGCCCAATGGGGCTGCCCAGGCTTGACTGAGACACCTTACACTCCTGGAAGCTCAAGCAGAGACCCTGGCATGCCACAAGACAGCAGCATCCCTGTGCAGCAGAGTTGGACTAAAGGGCAAAGGCAACACCCAAGACTGGGCGCTACATGGGAGTGACAGTGTCCAGGGTATGATCAAGTGCATCAGAGACCTATGCAAGGCAGGAGGAGCCGCCACCTGCCTGCACCCTTACCTTCTGAGTACCCACACGCCTGGGTCAGCGCCCGGCACTGCGCCAGTACAGAGGCATGGGACACAGTGACACCCACTGTGCTGCCTTCTTTGCTGGTTTTATACTGTAAGATTTCAAAGGAAAACAATGTTATACGGCATTTTCAGAGGCCACAGTGGGCAGAACAGAGCCTGAAAGGATTTTTAAAGCAGCAGCTGTGGTTGCTGGCCACCCAATGCACTTCACAGTCTGGTCCTGAGGTGTCTGGGGCAGGTGCCCAAGCATCGGTACACATGCTCCATCCTTACTGTCTGCACTGCAGGGACCCAGTTAAGGTGGAAGTAGGCCAGAATAAAATCTGAAAGGATTTCAGTGCAGTCCTATAGGGCACCATATATTTCTGGGGCATAGTAAAACTAAGGAGAACTCTGCCTTAAATTAAAAAGAAAGCAAGCAAGCAGCTATCTTACAAAAAAGAAGCCCAAGTCCATGGGGATAAGTGTGTATGCTTTACCTCAATATAGGCAGTCCCCGCCCCTGTGTCCTGGGCCAGAGGGTGCCAGTCCTTGGGGGGCTTGGCCAGATGCTTCCCATCGATCACTAGCCAGGCAAGGGGAGGCCAACCTATGACAGTACACAGGGGACATGCATCACCAGCATTCAGACGGCTCTGCTCCTCACACTTGGAGCCGGAGGCCTACAGCCTTGGGTAACTTAGGAACTCATTTTAGTCTCACTTTCTTTTGACTTATATAGGTACACTTGGCTTGGCCAATGGTCAGCATGCTGGACAGCACAGTGGAGACATTGACTAGACAGAAACCGAGATCCAGGGCCTTCAACAAGGTATCACTTTTGATGAAGACCCATCAGCTCTGTACTGTTTAATTTCTGGACTGTCTATAGGGTATAGGTTAACAGAAGCCAAAGCTAAGACTCGTCTGTGCCCTGGGAGCCATACCTTTGAAAGTCGCCACCTCTCCTGTCTGTGCCTTGGGCAGGCCCTTCTGACAAGCATCTGTGGTGAGGGCCAGGGCAACTCCACAGCTGCCCAGCAGAAACCCGACCTGCTGGCTGCCTGCATCCTGCAGAAATGGCAACCACAGAGAAATGGGAGGCTGGAAGGAACCACAGTACCACCACCAGTGTTCTGTACCATGACGGAGAACAGAGCTCTTTCCTTTACCCATCATAAAGCCCAAGCCTACCACTGGTACAATATTATATTTTTGTGGAAACAGTTCATAAACTATGACAACTGTTTTTAAGTTGATATTTTTGTTTCTTCAATGAAATATAAAGTTCTAGATAATGGTCTAATTTTTTGAAGTTTATTCTTACCAATGGCATTTAAAAGCATTTTAATAAACTCTAAAAATATTAAATTAAAATTTCTATTGAATCATGTTTGAAACTTCTAAATTAATCAGAGGTGGCCTGACACGACACTAGTAATCATTTCTACACAAGAACACCTCTCCTTTCACTCGCATTTTCCGTTGTGCAGGTTCCTCACCTAAATTCTATCGTTTTCTTCATGTAAGTTTTACAAATCTCACATTTCTTTCCTAAAAAACCTTGTACTCAAATACCTGATTTAGCATACCGTTCTTTGAGATGCGCCAAATCTCAAAGATTGTGGGGCTCTTGGACACTGGGATAGGATGACAGAAAACGCTACTTCTAAGGTGATACTTGTTTCAACAATCAGTACTGATATTTACATCTAAAATGGTATGGCTTCCTGGAATAGGAGCATATCCTCCATATTAACACTTTATCAGCAATAACGCGGCCTTCTGTCATGTAAGTGAATGGAAATGTACAAGAATTTCCATTCGACTTATTCAAACTAAAATCATCAACAATCATTGGTTTTGAGTAAAAGTTTAACAAAATCTTGAGTCACAAATCCTGTTCACTGAAAGGAAAACAGGCCCATCATTTCTACTGGGAAATTCAAATGAGTGACAGGACAGTTGTACCTAACCACAGTGAACCTGCAATTTCTGCCAGCAGGAAGTCTGCAGATAAACTGCATTGAAGTGCTCTCTCGGGCATCCTGGCTGGCCCACCTGCCACTACCATCCTCACAGCAGCTGCTGGCTGCCAGTCCACACCCCAAAGTGAAGAAAAAGGAGGCACTGCAGCCTGGTGTGTCAGGTTCAGAACGGAACTGCAGGTGACCAAGCCCCTACCTTTCTTGTTAATGGCACTTCTATGGGGACAGGAACCAGCTCGGCCAGGAGACACCCATAAAACGCAACCATGAACATCACAGGGTCACTATTTGGAAACACGAGTGCCACCTACGAAGGTACAAAGAAAAATCATGATATCTACTGGGGAATGACTAAGTCTTTTCGACTTGTAAAATCTCTGTTGACCAAATGGAAGTTGGATATTTCATTTTCCTATTATTTTCCAGATTTATTGCAGAAAATCTAATCTTGGAATTAATTCTTCATTCTTAAATTTTCTTACTGATGTGATGTTGAATAAATAGTTTGTAGGTATCAGTCTCTACTCCATATGCAATAAAGTAATTTTAAATTTCCAGGCTAAGGCAGTCCAATCTATGTTGGCCAGAGAACCAGATCCATTCTATCCACACTGGCTACAATTTACCATCAGTCAGTACAGCTAAAAAGCCCCTTTAAATGCAAAAGTGAACAAGGAATCAAATTATACCTAAAATAATCGCTTCCAGAAGAACAATCCTACACCCAAGTTTTAACTGAACAGATCTTCTTCACTCCTGACTTACTGTAAGTGCAAGGAGGGCCAGGAAGGACATCCCTTGCTCCAGGCGTCCGCCCTCTTTCCACCTGGGCTCCATGTTGCTACTGTGTGATTATCAGTTCTAATTTTTTTTTTTTTATTTCAATTTGTATCAGAAATTTCAAAAATACAGAGTTTAAAATGACAAAAATGCTAATGAGAAACAATGGCCACATATCCTACCCTTTATCACTCTTCAAAACAACCGTTTTTAAATATTTTGGATCTGGATCTTTCGTTACTTATTCCTTTTTTTTTTTTTTGGTACCAGGAATTGAACTCAGCACCTTGCACTTGTGAGGCAGGCATGGTGCCATTGAGCTAAATCCCCAGGTATTATTTATTTTTATATTTTAAATATTATGTTTGCATTGTACATTTTATTTGTATTTGTTTGTTTGTTTATTTTTGGAGTACCAGGGATCAAACTCAGGACCTTGCACTTGCAAGGCAACCACAAAGCCACTGAGCTAAATCCCCAGCCCTTTCACTTTTTGAAATGTTTATGTGTCTACCTTACTTCTCGTGTTATGGATGAATACTTACCCTTCCTGCATTCTTCCCCTTGCTTTCTCCCATCATCCCAATTTCCATGTTTTATAATAGCTGGTCAAATGTAAAGCTATTTATAGACTTTTATAACTCTTAACTATTCGAGTAATACTTGTGCTTGACATCATAAGTGGTAAGGCAGGAAGGTACTTCACTGAATGAGTAGGCGTAACCCTACCATGTCATCAGTCAGAACTCAGGCTGTATCTATCTTCATTCTGTACTCTGGTCTACAAAGTGAGCTTCTAACAAGTTCAATTGATAAAACGGACAAGCTGTCTTTCAAAAGTTGGTTTAATAGTGGTTGGCCCAGAAATATAACTTATAACCTTGAGATATTTGGAATGGAAAAGAATATTTTAGAGAATTTGTTATAAGGAGGTATATTTATTCACTTTTATGAGTAATTAGCACAGGAGCTTGAATTTACTACCAATCCCTGATTAACTCGCTGTGACTGTGTGGCTCTTTCTATGATTAACATAACTGCACAGATTCTCTTGCAAGTCAAGAAACTATCTGGATGTTTTCCTCCTTGCAAGAACACTTTCCAAGCAAAAATATGTGTAATTCTTAGATGCACACGCAATCTAAATCAGGGATTCCTAGGCCCATTCTAAAGTATAACATAAAATCTTATCTACAAGCACAACTTACTATAAAGCATCATTCTCACATGGCTTATAGTTTCCAGCCAAGTATACATCATTCCAATGATAACAGCCACTGTTATTTTTACTTGCTTTGCTTTTTCTACATGTGCTGGCCAACTTGTTCTAAAATGCTTGACACAGGTCAAATGCTTATCAGTGTCATGTTCCAAATACTCAGCCAGCTGAGTGTGGCCGACTACCTCACCCCCATCCATGTAAGACCCCAGTCTTCTTGGTCCTGCCTAGCTATTCCATGACTGCTACCAGGGGTCATGCTGAGACCTCCATGTGGCTTTCTCATCTGGACCTCACTCATTCATTTGGCTGAAGCACATCCTCTAGGAAATTGCCAGGAAAGAATGCTTGCAAGACAAGTTATTTTGAGTCCTGCATGTCTGAAAATGATTATACCATCCTTATATTTGTTGGATGTGGAATAAAACTGCAGGCTAAAAGTCATACTTCTGGATTTCAATCATCAGTTTACTCTGTTTTAACTTTACCACAAAGAAGTCCCAAAGGCACTGTGACGGCTGATTTTCTGCATATGCTGGACCCCCAACTCCTGCCCAAAAGCCATACAGTTCTTCTCTCTGCCCCTGGTGGTCCTCAGCACTGCAGTTAATGCTTTGGAGCGAACCTGCCATCTTCACTCAGTACATTACTGCTGTCCCGTTCCAGAACCTCATTCTATTGCCACTGTCATTTAAAGCATTCTCCTTTCTGTGCCCCTTTCTCTTCCTGGACTCTTCTAATCAGTCTGGGCTTTTCCATCAGGTGTTTAATCTGGTCTCATACTCTCTGCTGACTTCTACTGCTTGGTCTTCCCTACTGACATCCTTTACTTGACTTATAGAACAGCATCTTCTTCTCAGATCTCCAGGGTTACTAATGTTTAGAAAATGTGTTTTCTGCACTTAATTTTTCTTCCTCTCTTCTTTTCCTTCCTCTCACTTCCTCTCTCTTCAATTTCTTCCCTCTAGAATGCACTTGGCTACAGCTTAAAGTGTGAGACACTGGAAGAGTTTCTCAGAACTTTCATGATAGTTTGGTTTGTTTTGGTTTGTTTTGGTGGGAGACCAGGGATCAAACCCAGGTCCGTGCACTTGGCAGACGGCGGCACCACTGAGCTAAATCCCAGCTCTCTCAGAGCTGTCTATCAGCTTGTTAACCTGATGTTTCCCTGTGGGGCTATCTTGTCACACTAGGGGATCTCACTGGTTTAGGTGCTAGTTTTCACCACATTCCCCTGCTTTCCAGCAAACCTGAATGTCAAGGCTGTTTAGCTTGCTTACAGCAGTGCAGCCTGACAGCACCTTCTACAGTGATGGAAATATTCCACCTCTAAACTCAAATGCAGCAGCTACTAGCCAAACCCGCTGCTAAGCTCTCCGTGTGTGACTTATGTAACTGAAGAACTAAATTTTTAGTTTTATTTCATTTTGATTAATTTCAGTAGCCCTCTGTCACTACTGCCAACACTACAGGGCAGTGCAGGATAAAGAATCAGCTTCCAGATTCTTTTGCTTCTCTTTTGACAGAAAGACAAGAGGAGGCTGCCTAGCTACTTGAGATAGAAAAGGAGACAAATATAAAAAAGAATTTCAAAGTATGAACAATATTAACTCATGAAATCTAATATTTGGAAACAACATTTATTAACATCTACATACATAAAGTCAAACAGAAAAGAATTTACAGAACTGCGCATGGCTGTGCACACCTGTAATCCCAGCACTTGGGAGGCTGAGGCAGGAGGATTGCTGTGAGTTTGAGACCAGCCTGGGCTACATAGTGAGTTCCAGGTCAGTCTCAACTACATAGTGAGACCCTGTCTCAAAAAAAAGAAAAAAAAATTTACAAAATTAGAGGATGGATAATGAGGGAGAATAAGAATGGTAGTTTTACTCTATGCACAAACTTTTTCCATGTTTAGTATTTTTTTACTGCTGACTCCAAGTCCCTTGCAGCTAACAGAGCTAGTTTCAGTGAAACAGGTCTTTGGTCTGTGTTCTGCTCACTCTGAAAGAGCCACATTCTGGGTACTCACTCTGTCTCCGGGCATAAGCAGGGGTTCAGTCTTATTGGTCAGTTTGTTAAGAAGAGTGTAAGCCAGTTTTAAACTCCGACTCCAGAGTTTGCCTAAAATTAAATAAAAATACCAAGTAATATAAAATTTAAGAAAAAATGTTTTAATGTTGCAATCATCACACCCCACAACACACCATTAACCTATTACTGGAAATTCAGTTTCCAGCTGGTAACAATTCTGGATAATGAACATAATGAACATCATACTTTTCTCTTAAAAACAAATAAAAATAAAATACTTATTTCTCTTAATACAAAATTAAAATGGGATTTTATTTTGAAATTGAGAGTGTAAGAATGTCAACAAATGAAGTGGTATTCAGTACAATATATAGTTATAGCCATAGGTACTGTACATGTATGTGTAATTTTCAAGAAATGGGATCATACTTCACCCCGCCTTTTTCACTTGACGCTGCACTGTGCATGCATTCTCATGACACAAAACACCCCTCCACCACACCACTGACAGGTACTCAAGGGGTGGCCCTCTCTCCCCTCCATGGTTGACTAAGAGCTGCTGATGAGTGTGCAGCTTCACGGCAAGCCCCGTGGCCAGTGACTACACTGCCCTCCTCGCAAGCAGGCCCCATGTCTAGCACCCAGTCCTGTTGAGTCCTCAACATCAGAAGGCTGGGCTGAGGAAGACAGGAGGGAAGAAGAGGAGAGCTGAGGGGGTCTGTGGGTGCCTGGAGAGGTGGGCAGAGGTGGGGTGATGATGAGGTAGCAAGGATGAAACCCTCAAGTTTACTCCTAATACCTAAAGTGGCCTCAACCTCATCCTGCCCAGTATATTGAAGATGTAACACAAATGTCACACTTTGATCCCATTCAGAGTCCCGGGGTGCAAGCATGCAGCGGGCAGCCATCTCCTAGGAGTGAATGATCACATTCCACTGAAGATAACATGAAACTAGGTGCCACACTGTGATGTGCTTGAACTACGGGACCTGAGAAAAAATTTCAACTCAAAATACAGTACTGTTTTAGCCTACTTCTAAGGATCAACTCAAGAAGTTAATAAGGAAACTATATAAAGATTTACAAACTGAATCAGGCTATATATAAAAGAAGTAATGCATTGTGATCAAGTCAGTTTTATCCCAAGAATACAGAGATTTAAGAGAAAACTCACATACTTTGTCTCATTAATAGAATAATGAAAAATAAAATAATCATCTCAATAAATGAAAGAAATGAACCAACATGATTTATATGATTTTAAAAATCCTTAAGCTAGAAATAAAAAGAAATAAGCTCGCTTAATGTGATGCAGGGCATCTAAAAACTCAAGAAAAAATGTCACAGCCAACAGTCAGGGCAGAAGCCAGCCAAGCAAGTCTGCCTCCAACATTTTTCTGAGCTCCAGAGCCAGCAAGCAGTAAAGGGAAAGGAGGGGGAACATGGGAGGGAGTTGAAGATGCCCTTGTTTATGAATGACACAATCGTGTATCTTGTGACTCTTCAGTAACTAAATTTAAGAAGTCTGTGAATATTTGAGGTGTGATCAAAATATATGGTGAATGTTTAAATTTTTTTAAAGAAATTATTTACAGTAAAAGATACATTGTCATTAACCCCCCTCAAAATACTTCCCCTCATTGAACACGCCTATTTCATCATGCTTGCCAGCTTCTGAAGCAGTTTTAGTGTTCTCTTTCATGAATGTCTTTATGATGTATGAAAAAAAACTATGACAAATGCTGCCACTGAGCAAGCAGCATCCAATGATAAGGCAGCTCCTAAAAACATGATGTCGTGTCCTCATGTCACCTTATGTACCATGTGACTTCCGGCTCTTCCTCAAAGTCAAAATGACCACAAAAGGGAAAAGTTTTAAATCAATTCAGGACATCAAGGCAGACACAACAGCATAACCAAAGACATTCACAAATCATGCCCAGTATCAATGCATAAGTGATTTGGTGATCTTATACGAGAACAATAAACAAACATTTTAATGATACCATTACAATTAAATTTAAATATACAGGGCCAGGGATTTAGTTCAGTGGTTCTGCCGCCTGTCTCACAAGCGCAAGAACCTGAGTTTGATCCCTGGTACCAAAAAAATAAAATTAATTAATTAATTAAAACATACACACTAAATAACTAAGACTAAGTGTCACAAGAAATTTGTGAAGTCTCATAGATGATTATAAAGAATTATGGAGAAAAAAACTTGATACTGTAAAGGGTTAGTGCTCAAACAGATTCAAAGTGATGCTTACTGAAATCTGTGCAGATAGGTGTGACACCTGAGAAGCTAACCCTAAAACTGCCCCTGAAATATGCAGGGCAGAACAGCTAGAAGGCTCTGGAAAAAGATGAGAGGGGAAGACTCTGATGTCAGGCTCATTATAAAGTGGTAGGTATCAGGAATGGCTATCAAGAGACTTTGGCCTGGGGATAAGGATGGCCAGTCAGTGGATAGGTAAAAGGACAACTACAAGACAGGTGCCATGGTCACCAGGCACACAGTGCAGCTGAGGAAGGAGGGAAGCTGAGGCAGGAGGATTACAAATTGAAGCCAAGACCAGGCAACTTAACATAATAGGATCCCATCTCAACATTTTAAAAAATAGTAATGATTATAGAAAGGGCTGGGATGTAGCTCAATATGAAGGTCCTGGGTTTAATCCACAGCATACAAGGAAGGAAGGAGAAAAGAGACAAGAGGGCAAATTCCACAAGTGTGGACTCCTAGACTGAGGGCCCACACATCACCACAGCAGAGTGGGATGGGTGGTCTTTCCTATAAATTCAAATGCCGGTAATTTGCCTTGAAAGGCTGACCCTGGAACCCATCTCTACCTTGTGAACAAAAATGCACTCATGAGTTCCAGAGGGATATTCCCTGTAAACAAAATAAACAAATGTAAACAAAACACTTTCCAAAAATAACTGCGATGGAGGCCTAGGGAAAAGAGTCTTTTTTTTATCAAGGCAGGGTCTCACTCTGTAGTTTCAGGCAGGCCTCAAACTAGTAGTGATCTTCCTGTCTCAGCCTCCTGAATGCTGGAATTACATGTGTGTGCCACTGTGCCAAGCAGGAAAAATGTCTTTAAAGATAACACAGAAGGCAGGAACCAGGAAAAAAAACATAAAACAGGGTTGGGGATTTAGCTCAGCGGTTTGGTGGCCTGCCTTGCAAGCGCAAAGACCCGAGTTCAATCCCTGGTACAAAAAAAAAAAAAACATAAAACAGGGTTGGGGATTTAGCTCAGCGGTTTGGTGGCCTGCCTTGCAAGCGCAAAGACCCGAGTTCAATCCCTGGTACAAAAAAAAAAAAAACATAAAACAGGGTTGGGGATTTAGCTCAGCGGTTTGGTGGCCTGCCTTGCAAGCGCAAAGACCCGAGTTCAATCCCTGGTACAAAAAAAAAAAAAACATAAAACAGGGTTGGGGATTTAGCTCAGCGGTTTGGTGGCCTGCCTTGCAAGCGCAAAGACCCGAGTTCAATCCCTGGTACAAAAAAAAAAAAAACATAAAACAGGGTTGGGGATTTAGCTCAGCGGTTTGGTGGCCTGCCTTGCAAGCGCAAAGACCCGAGTTCAATCCCTGGTACAAAAAAAAAAAAAACATAAAACAGGGTTGGGGATTTAGCTCAGCGGTTTGGTGGCCTGCCTTGCAAGCGCAAAGACCCGAGTTCAATCCCTGGTAAAAAAAAAAAAAAAACATAAAACAAGACAGCAGTTGTGTTCCCTGAGCGACACTACGGATAGAAAGACCAGGGGGAAAGACATTTATGGTACATCCCTGACAAGGGGCTGGCAGTCTGAACAAAACAGACTTACTACAAGTAATCTTATATCCATTAAAAAAAATAGACCATAAGATTCAATAGTTATTTAATCAAAGAAAACCCAAATGTTAAGAAAAGATCTCCACTGTTACTGTTTCAATCTAGAAAGTCCTCCAAAAGCCCCTTGTGTTCAGAGGCGGTGTTTCAGGAAGGAGACGGGATCACGGTGAGAGGCTACACGGATGGGTGGATTTATCCACGGAAGGTTTCAGCACTAAACCTGCTGTTAGGGGTGGTGCCTGCCAGAAGAGCCAGCCACTGGGGTTGTGGTCTGGAAGCCAGTGTCCCTCCCCTTCACTCTCTGCTTCCACTGCCACGAGATGAGCTGCTTTCCTCCACTATGACCCTCTGCCATGCTGTTTCTGCTGCTGAGCTGGCCACAGACTAAAATCTCTAAAAACCTTGAAACAAAATAAACCTCTTCTTTAACTTGTGGGTGTTAGGTATTTTGTCCCAGAAACAAGAAAGCAACAAACACATCAACCCATCCAGTCATCAGGAAAATGCACATTAAAAGCACAAAGCAACACTATGATATTCTGACTAGATTAGTTAAAACTAGCAAGCCTGACAACACACTGGCGAGTAAATATGACCTGGAAAAGATGGCTGTCTAGAAAGCTTGGCAAGTTGCCCAATCCCAAACCAAACACTGCCACTCCCAAGTATTCAGCCTATCGAATTCGTGCTGGTGTGCAGGGTGGCACCCAACATCCCACAGTGCTGCTTCTAACAGCCGGAGCTGGAAACCACCCAACTATCCACCAATACTACATGGGACAAGCACATTCTGGTATATTCTTTCCTCAGTAATAATGAGTGGGTCACACATAATATGTAATAACATGTAATATGGACAAATTCTAAAAGACTGTGCTTCAAGTAGGAAACAGAAGTCACTGTCAGAGGCAGAAAGAGCTGCTGGGCAAAGATGACTAGAAGAGTTCAGACTGGAGAGACATTGGGAGAGGCGCAGCTGTTTATAAAGGGTGCTGTGGACTGGAGCCCCAAAGGAGGCCTCAAAGCACAGTCAGCCCCCTCAGGGAAAGTGCTGAGCTCTCAGGGCTCAGAAGAAAAAAGTTTTAAAGTTTACAATAGGAATAAATGTAATGAAACTGCTCAAGAATTCTGTATTCAACAGTATGAAAACATTACTCAGAGAAATTAAAGCAGCCTTTAAAAAGGGAGAAATAAACCGGGCGTGGTGGTGCACGCCTGTAATCCTAGCACTCGGGAGGCTGAGGCAGGAGGATGGCTGTGAGTTCGAGACCAGCCTGGGCTACATAGTGAGTTCCAGATCAGTCTCAACTACATAGTGAGACCCTGTCTCAAACCCCCCCCCAAAAAAAGGCAAAAATATTCTCCAGTCATGAACTAGAAGATTACATAACCATATTACAAATCTTCTGCAAGTTCAACTACAGATTCAATACAACACCAAACCAAGCAGGAAATCTCATCAAAAATGACAAGTTGGTTCTAAAGTTTACTTGGAAATGCAAAGAACCAAGAACAGCAAATGCAATCGTGAGGAATAATCAGAGCTGGAGGATATGTGTGCCTGATGCTGAGACTCAGAAAGTGCGGCAACTCTACCAGAGAAGAGAGTCCCAAACAGACCCACACATCTGTTTTCCACCTGATGTGTGACAAATCAATGCTGCGGTATGTGGGGGAAAGACTGTCTTTCCCATAAACGACACAGAGCCACCCAGATAAGGTAAGAAAATTACTCCAGCCTCCCACCATACACAAAGTGAAGTTCTAGGTAGAGCAAAACACCTAAATGTCAAAAGGGGATCAATGGAGTTTTTAGAAGACTGTGTAGAATATCTTCATGACTTCATGTTTGGCAAAGACTTTCTAAACAGGACAAAACTAAATACAATAAAAGAGGGGAAAGAGATAAAGAGAACTACATCAAGACTTTTCATTCATCAAATGTCACAAAGAGAAGTTTTAAAAGGCAAGCCCAACAATGAGAAAAGATAATCACAAAACATGTATCTGATAAAAGGTATGTATGAAAGTGAACAAAAGTTAGCAAAGCAAACAGAAAAATGAGCCAAAGATTTTAATAGCTTATAAAAAAAGATATCAAAGTTGGGTGTGGTGTTTCATGCTTATAATCCCAGAACTCTGGGAGGCTGAGGCAAGAGGATCACTCTAAATAAATAAATAATATTCAAAGTACCCCCAAATCACATGAAAAGCATTACTAGCCATCATTCAGATGCATGATGCAAATCAGTACCTAACTCTACACTGCAAACCACCCATCCACAATGAAGACCGAAAGGACTCGGAGATAGTGTCACATGTGGTAAGGACATGGGCAACAGAACACGCTGCAGCTGCTCCAAGAATGAACTGCTGCAACTCTTTTAAAAACTAACAGTACTGGGCCAGGGATTTAGCTCAGTGGTGCCTCCGCCTGCCTAGCAAGTGCAAGATCCTGAGTTCAATCCCAGGTATCAAACAAACAAACAAAAAAACTAGTGGTATTGGGGCTGGGGATTTAGCTCAGTGGTGTTGTGCCTGTCTTCCAAGCACAAGGTCCTGAGGTTGATCCCTGGTACCAAATAAATCAATCAATAAATACCTAGTGGTTTGACCTAACACTAGCAAGCTACGCTGTGTTCACACCTAGCACAGATGCCTGCAGGGGCTCACAATGGACTCCAGTAAGAATGTTCATAACAGGACTCACTGGGTGTGCCTCAGAGGGGCTGCACTTGCTAAGCATGAGTGAGCCCCTGGATTCCATTCCCAGCACTGCAAAAAACAAACAAACAAACCAAAGAACATCCATTAGAACCCTGTATACCATAGTCCCAGGTGGGAAACAACCAGAATATCCGGCAATGCGAATAAACTACCACTTCGTACAGCATGACAGATTTAGTCCCATGCTTGGCAAATGAGTGAAAACATAAAGAGTGCCTCTTACATAATATGACTTACATAACACTTAAAACATAAAGCCAGCAGTGTGACTGGCTGGGCAATTGCTTCCCTGCCCTCAGGGCACATTCACTTTGTAAAAGCATCAAGCTGTGTGAATTGTGTTACATACAAACATCATCAGGAACTAAAAGATAACAAACACAAAAAGATACTGCTGCATAATTCCATTTACATTAAGTTCAAAATCACATAAAACTAAACTGCACTGTTCAGAATGTGTACAAAGAACACTAAACCCTGCAATGCTCAGAACCAAAGTCAGCAGGTGGCAATGTGCTGTCTCACCAGTGTCCGCTTCTGGGGTAGGAGCTTTATATACTCATCCGTTGCACATCTATGCTGGGCTGCTCATGATAAGTTACAGCTGGACACAACGTACAACCACTTTCTGTGAACACTTACCATAGGTGAGGGTGTAGATGGCCTTCCCTGCTGTGTCCAGTGCAGTCAGACAGGGGGCTCTGGGGTGCGTGGTGCCCCACCGCTGCAGGGCAGCCAGCAGGGATGGAGGCCAGGGGGTTGCCACTGCCAGGGGCTCTCCTTTCAGCAACACCATCTGACTTCCCTCAGGCTTTGGCTGATTTGGATCGGGTTGCTGCACTGCAAGCAAAATCAAAATTCAAAACGCAACATTTCACTATGCCAGGCACAAATTCTGTTTTTAAGCACTCATATTTTATAATTTTGTTTTAAAAACAACTATGAAAAGCTTACAATTATTTGTTTACATTTCTTTATCAATATCAAGCAAAAGACTAATTAACCAGAAGACTAAAGGATTCAGTCAGACAATGACGGCTTTAAAATAATAGTAAAAACCACCCGCAATCCTGGTAGCCACCAGTTTTCCCAGGACAAAGATGGCCTCAGTGTGGTGTCTTCACCTCCACACCACAGTAGCACATCCCAGGAGAGAGCCATTCAGGACCAAGGTGAGCACAACCACTTGGTCCCAACCTCAAACACTTAGCACTGCACCCAAGGGAAAGAGTGAGAATGACATCTGGTGCCTGAGGGCCTGCAGCCCTCACGGGCTGACCATGGGCACAACTTTTATATTGTCTGGGGCTTGTGATTCTTTCTGCTTCTCGTTAATATTCTTTTTAAAATATAAATCTATATTCCTGTTTCCTATACTAAATAAACCTTTCATTCATAAATAAGAGGCTACAATTCTAAGAAGGAGCCACATCCACCTGAAAATTAAGTACCTTAAAACCAAGGGAACTGAGCATGGTGGTGCATGTCTACAATCCCAACACTTAAGAGGCTGAGGCAGGAGGACTGCTACAAATTTGAGACCTGCCTAGGTTACATAGAGAGTTCTAGACCTGACTAAACTACATGAGACCTTGTCTCAAAAACAAAATGACAAAAAGGGAAGATAAACACTTCAGATTTAAAGTTTAAATAACAATTTAAATAATGTAAATTAAATGAAACAGATAATTTTATAAAGTATGAGGCAAAATATGGTCAGTGTTTAAATTTTTAAAAAATGTATTACCATAAAAGACACATTATCATTTATCCACCTCAAAAAATTCCCCCACTTTGAAAATATCCCACTGTTCTCTTCACTTTCTGTAGCAGCACTGGAGTCCTCTTTCCTGAGTGTCTAGTTGTGCTGTTGTTCTTGCCTTGATGTCCTACATCAATTCAAAACATTTATTTTTCATGGTCATTTTGACTTTGGGGAAGAGCCAAAAGTTGCTCATTGTTTTTGGCAATGTCTCATTTACTGTAATAAGTTTTTTAAAATTTAAACATTCACTACATTTTTCAATCCTCCTGTACTAAGCACTGGATCAGATGCACAGAGAAATTCGATGTCACTTTCATCTCAGCCACACACATTCTGCTGCTGAAATGATGTAGGCACATGTGATTCTACATTCGCCACCGCACAAGGCAACCACAAAGCCTGGGTAGAGAGAGAGTATTTCACGGTGTCACGACATAACCACAGGAACTCACACCCGATGCAAATCTGCCTGCATTTCTCCACATGGCCACCCTGGTCACAGAAGCTTAAGTCAGAGAACTCTACCTTCCAATAATTCTTCAAAATCATCCACAAAGAACTCCTTCAGAGGAGGCCGCTTCGGCCTCTTCAGGGTGTTCAGAAGCTGCTGGATTTTGGAGGACACTCTGCTGTTCACGGGGACACCTGTCACAAAGGAAACAGAGGACTGAGACCGAGACCATTCACATCCACGATGGAGTGTGCCAGAGGAGAGGCACCATCCAATAGTCCCTCTGGAATTACTCAGTCCATTTACATACATCTCTGAATGCCTGGTTCTAAACTAGAAGTTTTCAAAGTGGCCCAGGGAGCCCAGAGAAGCCTGGAACGCTTCCAAGGTTCGGGAGGTCAGGACTGCTCCTCCGTAGCACAAAGACATCACTTGCGTCTCTTGCTCTCCAGCCACACACATGTGATGTTGCCACAGACATCTGAACCACACGTGGGAACCAAGGTGCTCTCATCAGCCACAAACTTTTCATAAGTATGTAAGATTTATGTCAACATGTAATGATTTTATTATTTTTAAATGAACTAATAATTTTATTTTAATTTGTAATATAATAAATATTAAGAGATATAATCTGTGGGACCTAAATTACAAGCCCTTGCTAAATGGCAAAGGGCCTAGGAGACAGTGTCCTGAACCCCTCCCATTGTAGCCACAGCCCCGACCTTTGTTCCAGCCCTGGCCTAAGAATGTGGATCACTCTTGTATTGTTTGAAGTCCGGATCTGAATCTACCTGTAAATTAGAGCCTCCAGACATAGAGCCCAAGCTAATTGACAAACTGTTTGCTCATCCGGAGTGTCTTAGTGACCTTTGAGACATGCTATAGGTGGTACCTGTTACTCATCAATATGTGACTGCTGACCACCAGCTCAAGTCAGCAGACCTTTGTCCCCTGTCTGTGAGCCCAAAATGTTAACCCCCTCCTTTTACTCCCTAGAAGAGGACCTCGGCCCCTGAGCTAAGCGCCTCTCTGAGCCACCTGGCTCCGGGAGTGCCGTCTGGTCAGACTAATAAAGGTGTATTTACCATCTAGCCTGGTGTGTTCCTTCCTGGGTTTCTCGTTCTCCGTCGAGCTCCCGGAGCCTCGCTGGGTGTTGGGCCCAGCATTGTGGAGGCCTTTTTGGCTGTTCACGCTCCGCGGAGTGGAAGTGAGATTTTAGGTCTTACAAGGCCCCAGCGAGATACCCAGGCGGGAACTGTAAATCCAGCCGAGATTCTCTGTTGCGGGATCCAGCAGGAGATTCTCAGACACAGACCTTTGAAAGCCTCCGGAGGTAAGCTTTGTGCTGGCGGTTGCAACTGTCTTGTTTGTCAGGACCGAGATGGCTGACGAGCCGGGAAATCTCCCCTGACCCCGGCCCTGACGAGGACTCCGGGTAGTAGAATCAAAGCTTTTCTTTTTGTGGCGCCTGTCTGTCCTGTCAGTGTCTTGTGTGTTGAGTGTTAAACTAAATTTGTTCCTAGGGTCAAGATGGGAGAATCCAGCTCCAAGAACACCCCACTGGACTGTTTTCTCACTAATTTTAAATTGGCTTTTTCCCCTGAGCAGGAAAATAAATACGGAGTCAAATTCTCCCACGAGAAGGAAGGAGCTATCTGGCACAGCCCATGTTGGGCCTTGACCCGAGTCCCACCAGAGAGTGACTGTCTGCCTCCTCGGAAGGGAAGAAGTGCGCCCCTAGGATTTCCTGGGTTCCCTTTCTAGGACGCGGAGGCCAGCTCGCCGGTAGCCCAGCTCACCGGCAACAGAAAAGAAAAGAAAAAAAAAAAAAGAGAGAATAAATGAAATCATCTGAATGGTGAGATCCCCTGGGTTGCTCCCTAGTTTGTCTTTGGAAGGGGACCCAGGGAGGGAATATATTAACTTCTTGTGTGACTGTGTGTGAAAGAAACTTGGTTAGGAGAATGAGTACAAGGAGCTAAGAAAGCCAATGGTAGCCTAGTATATACATCAAAAGAAAGGGAGGAGGGCTTGCACTTAAAGAGCCCTCCAGGCAAATAAATGAGGCTGTTTTCTGGAAGGGCACCCCACCCTTTGTCTTGCGTCACTGTCACCACACAAGGGAATATCTAATGGTAATGGGAAAAGCTAATACTAAACCAACTCTTCTTAAGTGCATAATTCAGAATTTTGATAAAGATTTTATGGGGGACTATAAGATAAAACTGCAACCAAAGAGGCTTAAAACTTTGTGAGTTATCTTGGTCTCAACTAAGCCAGACTTTGCCCACAGGACAACTCTGTAAAAAAGAAAGTTATCTGCCTTTGTTTTGCTTACCTGAGACTTTGACAATTTAGAGCCTTGAATACTCTCGGAACTGCTCAAACTTCTATTCCGTGGTAATCAACTACTAATGAGACTATTTAGTTTTGGTTTTGAGACAATTGCTTGCCAAATCTGCTGTTTTCCCATGGTAAACTTGCCTCTCAGAAAATGTGACATCGTTGCAGGCAAATCCCAGTGTTTACCCTTTGGAGGAGGTTGAGCTGCCTCCCCCTCCCAGGGTTACTAAGATTAAAAGTATGAAGAAGGGTGGGAAGCAAGAACAAAATTGTTTAGCTTTTCTGCACTGGAGGGTGCAAATGGAAAAGCATGATGAGACTCAGAGAAAAGATGAAACAGCTTGTACCCAGATTAAAAGAACTAAAATGAAAAATAATGGATTAAAATCAGGCAGGAAAACTCTGAAAGACAAAATATGGGGAAAAATACTGCAAGCCAGAGAAACTGCAATTGTGTTTTACCAGACATTAAGAGAGTTTTATAAGAAAAATCAAGTTAGAAATTTTAACTATTTGATAAATGTATCTTTGTTTTGATTTGAATTAAGTTTAATTGCTGTACTTTAAACATTTCTTGTGCACTGCAAATTCTTGAATTGTGATTATAAGATTAACTTGCTCTTTTCTGTACTTTGTTGATAAAAACTCAAGGCTAGTACTGTTCTATAGATAGCCAGTCAAATTTTAAGATGTAACAATCTGAGAACAGAAAAAGAACACTTTAAGATTTTAATAGCTGAAGTTTGCTATAGAAGGTTAATAATAAATGAGACAGAAGAAGATAGTAGAAAAGCTATGGGTAAAAGAGATATACTTTTGATATGAAAAGATTTTGTATGTTTGTCTTGTTAGAAAGATATAAAGAAAGATATACAAGACCAGAAGGCTTAAGTATGTAGAGAAGGTATGTGGAAGTGATTTAACAAAATTATATATATTTGCTTGTTGGTTTCAAGTTTGTTACAGAAGGTTTACTTTTATAGTAACAAAGAGCTTTCATTCCTTTTGATTCTAATTCTGTTAGATCTGTTAATTGATTTGCAAAAGTTTTGACTAGTCTTGACTAAAAGAGGGTTTAAATTGAAGGATGAGAGCAGCTTCATGAAAGATGGGGCATGTTATGCTGGCTATGCAGAGATGACTCAGGATGAAGTGGTCCAAGCAGGACCCCTCCCCACTGGATGGTCAGTGCACTGAGCAGAGCTATGGGCACTCATACAGGCTCTCCGATGGGCAAAAGAAAAGAGGGTAAATGTTTATACAGATTTCTTTTTGCCACTTGGTGTATCTATGGCACAGTCTAAAAGGTGTGGTCTTCTCACAGAAGAGGGCAAACTTATTAAAAATTTAAAAAGGATATAATATAGTTATTTGAGGCAACGTGGAAATCTGACAAAGCAATAATTCATTACTCTGAACACCAAGGAAGGAAAAGATGCAATAGCAAATAGCAATGCTAAGGTAGACATATAAGTCAAAAGGGCCATATGAGTTGCTTATGGTTACTCCCATGGTTATCAAGGTAGCTGAGGCTCAGCTACCACCACTCTAGAGTAAAACAGAATTCCAGGGATTTCAACTCCAGGAGACCAGGAGACAACGCAAAGCCCTGCTCTCACCACACCGGAAGCTGGTGAGTCTACGCACGGCTGAAGAATGAAAATTACAATTAAGATATGAACTCTTATATTGTGTTAAATTGTTATGAGTTATTATGCTTCTAAATTAAGAGTTTATGAGCTTACAGATGATGAAAATATGAAAACTTTATGTGCTTTGGGAATCCTAATACCACCTTAGCAGTCTAAGAGATGTCTTTACAAATTGCTATGACCCCTTAGCTAAAGTTTAAGTAAAATGAAGATTCAAGGATTTGAATCTACCTAAGAGCAGTGGGGAATGTGGGACCTAAATTACAAGCCCTTGCTAAATGGCAAAGG